AGGGGGCGAACAGGCCCGCCTGGAGTCGCGCGGGGTGGGGACGGGGCAGGCGGCTTTGCAGAGCCCGGTCCCTCGCGTGGGGGTGCAAGGCGGGCGTGCGGTGCGGTCCTTTATGCCTCGGTATTTGGGGAGGAGCCTAAGGTAGGGAGGCGATGGGAGTAACCGAAGTACTGCTTTTATATAAGGCCGGGCGCTAGGTGGAGAAGGCGCCTCTGCCTCTGCGAGGATCGGGGGGCTGCCTTCTCACTCCCTCACCTCCACTCGGGCTGCAGGTGAGTCGGCCCACCGTGCCCGCGTTTCCTCGCCACGTGTGGGTGCTGGGTGCGAAATTGGCAAAACGCTGCTGCTTCTCCTAACTGTGATTTGGGGGTGCTCTTGTTTTCCACTAAGAACCTGATTCACCTGGGCCTGAGGCTAACGGTTGGGGGGGTAGGGGGGAGTGTTAAGCATGTTAGGAGAAATCAACTTTACAAAGAATCAGCCGGCGTAAAGACACCAGAGTTGGCCTTCTTGCCCTTTCAAGATCAGGGACACCTGTAAAGTCGTGGAAATCCTCATTGGAAAACCAAATCGGGCTGCGTGATGCTGAGAGTCGTTTTTTGCTCCCTGTTGCCGGAAAAGCTCTTGATTTGGAAGTTTATTATTTTAACGCCCTCCGCGTTGATCATTCATAATACCCAGAGTTAAGAAAAAGAATGACTAATTTCTTCTGGAAGGGACCTGGGCAGATCTTGACAGATCTCAGGTGTACTTTGGGAGGTTTCCTGTCAGTAGCTGAGTGATCAATTGCTGATTATAGAACCAACCGAGGGGCTGCGTGATTTAGAAAACCGCCCCTGTCTAAGCACTGATACTCTCTGTGGCTTCTCAGAGAAACACCCTCCACCCATCAGACCCTGCCACAGAAAACACCCAGAGATGCTCTCAGCTCGCATTTGGAGCGATAGCCCACAAGTGTTGAAGTTTTAAAATCGTTGTCATGGTGTGTATTTTCAGTCCTATTTGCTCTGGGGTTCAAAAACGGTTCCGCAAGATGAATTTTAGTATAACCCAGCTCTAACTCTAATTCCACATTAGCCAAGAAGTGAAGTGTGTTACAAAACCGTCCATTTTTTTTTTAATCTTACTGTATTCTTCAGGTCATTTTTCTTCTTTATTTAAATGACGTGATATTTGATATTTAACTTGCTGATAATTATATCTTAAAAAGCTCTTAGAATCAACTAGTGGCCATCCCAGTCTTGGGAGGAAAAAAATAAACACTGAGAATGCTGTGTTTTTTTTTTTTTTTTAAATCCAAGTCTTGATCATCTTTAAAAGTTTCTAATTCTTACAATAACTGCTGTAAAACCATGACACTCGTGAAGCATGAAGTTTTAGAGAATTTTAGGCTGAAGACTTTCCGGACATTTGTTTTCTCCTTCTTTTACATCTTAAAAAGAATTCACCAATTTTAATTAAAACTAAACTGTCCACCAACTTTAAATTCCTTACTGAACTAAAGAATACTTTGAACACACTTTTTGCAATTTCCATTTTGGAAAAACATCATATTTTCTTCGAAGGGACTAGTCTCCTTCATGTTCACTCCATCAATATTTCAGAACTACTTAAAAAGAATTCGAGGTTGCATTTTCTTAAATCACAATTTTGTAAATCCCTGTGGCTCTTCATATGTTTGGAGGAGAAAGATGGGACTTGAGGAGGAATGAGACTTGTAAATGGGTTACGGATCACAGCTCACTGTGTTTAATCGGCAAGGTTTATAAATATAAACAACTACTAGGTTTTCTCTCTCCTGTGAGTCTCTCCAAGTAAGATTGTTTGCCACGAATTTTAATTATCAAGATGATTATGTGTGGAAACTGCTTAAAAGGTACTATGGTAAAAAAAACATATATATATATATATAGATAGATAGATAGATAGATCTATATATATATAAAACATATATATCTATCTATCTATATATA